TCAAAAGCCAGAATGTTTTCGTTTTCAATCGATCACAACAAGCTGCTTGTACTCTTCTCCGGCGATTACAGCCTCCATGATTATCATCGGATCAATCTCCCCATCATTATCCAAAAACATCTTTATCAAATTCTTCGAAAACCCACTCACCATAGCCACTCCTTTCTGACTCGCCATCACCGGCGTTGACTTCGAATCTCTCAGATTCCAAAACACAATCTGCGGCACAGCTTCACCGTACCCTTTCTCTTTGTACTTCCTCACAATCGCTTCGTAATCCGTTTCCCATCCACCTGGAGTCGGAATCGGCCCTTGACCATAGTATCCACCACCATAATGCGCCGATTGCTTAACTCTAGCTTGATCGAACTCCATGTCACTGAACACGAAAACTCTCTTGACCATCTCCTCCGGTTTTAGTTTCCCTTCCACTGCAACTTTCAGAATCAGATCGAACACTTTCTGAAAATCAGTGTTCATATTCCACTTCATTCTCCTCACAAACTCTGTTTTCGTTCTCAAGTCGTCTCCTTTCACCAAATGCANTTCTGGGTTTTTGCTGAAAGTTATCAGCATTCCTCTCCATGGGTCTTCAGATAACTCAGAGACGAGTAAACCCAGAGCGACTGCAACCTCCATTGGAGTACCGCTCATAGATCCCGACACGTCGGAGATAGCGATGCAGTTGGTTAAAGAACCCTTCTTTTTCAGATCTTCAACCATTCGTTTCCATTGAAGCTCAGCTACTTGTCCACCGTCTCCACCGTTCAATTCTCCGATTATATCGTGTGGTAACAAAGCTCCCGCGGCGATTGTCGTTTTCCCTGATTTCGCATCTTCTAGATACTTCTGAAATCTCTCCTCGTCGTGTTTCAGGAATATGTCCTTGTATGATTTCATAGCCACCGATGCTACACGATTGTAGGGAAGAGATTCCCAATCGCTAGCTCCCATGTAAACCTCAGGGAGTTGCAGAGTTTTCCGAAGAGGAACAAGAACCTCCTTCCTTAACCGATCACGAACTCTGTACGCGTAGTGAGCTTCTTCTACACCTTCGTATTCAGGGAATGATTCACGAGGAAAGAGCTTCTTAGCGATGCTCTCGCAGATCAGAGTTGCTTTGTCGAAGGAAGAATCAAGCGACGGACACCACTTAGCCGCTAGAGAGATCTTGTTTGTTTCTCCGGAAGTCAAAAACTCGATGTCTCTTCTCAAGTGATCTGAGAATAAATCAGAGACTCGTTCATGGAGGAACCTATACTCTGGATCCTGAGCATATCTAGTGAATGCTTGCATCCCCAATTCTATCTTCTTCTCCTTCCGATCCAAACTCGCTCTCTCTTTCTCCACTTGGTTCCTTTTCTCTGCGTTCGCTATCCTCAGCTCCCTCGTCACCGTCGGCTTCTTTTTCCGGCGAACGTCACGGCTTCCATGACGAGGATTAGAGAAAGGAGCTCTTCCACTACCTCTAGATTGTCTCTGGATTCCTCTTTTCCTCTGGTTCCATTCCATTTTCTGCGTTTTGCGGATATCGTGTCCTTCAAGAATCCGGTAAAGAATCTCCGGGAAATCCTTAAAGTAACCAAATTTGGAGAGAGATTCGAGGTTACAAGCTAGGGTTTTGGGATGACAACCGTGGAGCCATAAAGCCGCCGTGTAAAACCCTTGCTTGTCGGATTTTCCAGTACCTCGGACTCCACGAAGGTTACATATAAGCTTTAGAGTGGTTAAAGCATCGTGATTCCAAGCGGCGACGAGTCTCTCCACAATAGATTCCTTGGGGGTGCTTGGAACAACGTGGAAGAAGAAGTCGAGGCAAGGATTACCGGCGGAGAGGTACGTGTCGGCTCCGTTCTCGGTCAGGCCTCTACGAGGAGCAGAGTGATCCTTGACTTTGGCTGCTTTGTTGAAGTTTGAGACCATTGCGTCCATGAATGGATCGCTTGGACCAGAAGATGTGTTGCGTTTTCCAGTAACAGACTCTCGGAGCTCTGGTGGACCAACCAAAGGAGAAGACATGGTTATAGAAAAGTAGTTTTTTTTTTTGGGTGATTGTGAGAGAAACCCTAAACGTGAGAATAGGTTTTGTTTATGCATAAGGTTTGTGAAGAGTTCTATTTATAAAAAAAGGTATGTATGTATGTGATCGACTTAGTCTTCTAAGATTTACATAAACTAGAAAAGTATATTTACCAAATATTAATTATGGAAGATATATACATATTTATGAGAGAATAATCTACAGAATGCAGAAATCTGATTCGTTGCCTTGGTGATCACGCTTTTATAAAAGTCAAAGTCTATTGGCCATAGGATCCTCTTTTTCGTGGAGACGAAAAAAAGATAATGTGTATAAAAGTCGGTTTGTATTATAAATTGGGGCAGCTCAGTGTAATATTGGGCCATGAGCAAAAGAATTGGGTATGTAAATTACTAATGTTTTAATTAGACAATCTCCATTACTTAGCCCTTTATGGGTTTTTAAAATTATTTTATTTTAAGTATAAATTATTTTGTTAAAATTTGAAAACATACTACATTTTATAAAATCTAAATTATACTGCATTTCATGAAATTTTAAACATACATTGCATAAAAAGAATTAAAACATAAAATTGCAAATTATAAACGAAAAAACGTAAAATGATATAAAACCTATAAAAGCACGATAAGAACATAATTAACTCAGTTGTAATCTTC